GCTGGGGGTCCCTGCAGTAGGTGCTGGAGGCACGTGGGAGGACTGAATCAGTGGGATCCTTGCATTGGCACAGGACCAGTCCCCTTGGGATCTCCCATGGTGCAAATGCCTGATGAGAAGCATTGGGATTATGTGCTATCAACCCCCTGGAGCACTGGGATTATCCACTGGAGGACAGAGGGATTAGTCATGCTGCAGGTCCCTGAGGATGAATACTAGAATTAGCCATGCTGCAGATCCCTGAGGATGGACACTGGGATTAGCTGTGGTGCAGATTCCTGAGGATGAATAACAGGATTAGTTGTGGTGCAGATCCCTGAGGAGGAACACCAGGATTAGTTGTGGTGCAGATCCCTGAGGATTAGCTGTGGTGCAAACACCCAAGGACATGTGCTGGGATTATTTATGGTGCAAAGTCCTCAAGGATGTGTTGGGTTTAACTATGGTGAAACTCCCAAGAGCAAACACTGGGATTATCTGCCACACAAAATCCCCAAGGATGAACACTGGGATTACCTGTGGTGCAAACCCCTGAGGACAATGGCTGCTGCAGCAGACACCCTGCACCCTCCAGCGTGACCCTTGGAGCCCTCGCAGCCCCACAGGACCCTGCTGGTTCTCCCTGCTGGCACAATGGGATTTGTTTCCCTTCCTGCTCACCTGGCATTCCCTGGAACAGGGCTGTGTCCCTCTGAGCTCCTGGGAAACTTCACAAAACTCCCCAGGGCTGTAGGCACAGGATGTGGTTTTGTGCCAGCACAACCTGGCTGCTGTGGATCTTGGTGTCTGTCCATCTGTCTGTCCCCCATGGCCGGACTGAGCTGGGCCTGGGCGCTGCGGCTCCAGCTGAGGTTTGTCCCTTGCGTAAGGGGGACATGGTGGGCTCCGAGATTTACGAGAAGTGACAAATCTCACCCGTATCCGTCGGGGACCTTGCACAAGGGCTTGGGCACTTCCCCACCTCCCGCGTATGACTCAGAGTGGAAGGGAGAGAGCCGGCCTGGGGAAATCCCAGAGTGTGGAGGGGCCGTGGCAGCAGCTGCTGCATTCCAAGGATTTTGCTCTGTACAAACGTGGCCTGACGGCCCAGCCACGATCATCATCATCGTGAGACTGCCATCGTCACTGTGCCACTGCTGTCATCACTGTGCCACTGTCATCATCACTGTGACACTGCCATTGTCACCATGCCACTGGCATCATCACCGTGACACTGCCATCGTCAGCACACCATTGCCATCATGGCTGTGTCACTGCCATCACCATCGTGCCACCACCCGCATCACTGTGCCACTGCCGTCGTCACCAAAGCGCCACTGTCATTGTTGTGCCACCGCCATCATCACTGTGCCACCACCCTCATCACGGTGCCATTGCTGTCATTGCTGCGCCACCACTGTCATCCCTGTGCCACCACTACCTTTGCTAGCAGGGGACTGGGCACTGGCCAAATCAACTGGGAAGGGTGAATGGCTCCAGCTCCCTCCCATGCAAACCAGCACTGTGGGCAGTGGCAGCATTTTGGGGACCTGTCAAGAATCAGCAGAGCCCGAGGGGTGCCTGGGGGGGCGGTGGGTGCAGCACCCTGGTGGTGCCTGGGCAGTGCTGGTGCTGGTCAAACAGAGAGCTACCGGTGGCTCTCTGGGTGTGGGCAGCATGGCAGTGAGATTTTGGTCTCATTCTTGGAAAACTGGCTGCCTCCCTCCTCATCTGAGCACAAAAAGCCCCCCCAGCACCCACAGTGTCCCCTGAGCATCCAGACAGGTTGTCCTTCTCATGGTGTCATGGTGAGATTTTTCCTGGCATGTGTGGGTGAGCTGGGAGGAGCTTTGCTGCCAAAAAGCCCCATAAATCCAAATATCCTTGTTGGAGAGGTGTGGAGTGACCCGCCATGCTGAGCCTCCGGGCAGTGGTTCCCCACCAAAGGCACGCAGAAGGCGCTGTGGGGGCTGCTGGGGGGACATCACCAGGAAAGGAGCCGGTGGCACAGGCAGCTCACTGGCACTGTGGCCACTGGCACCACCTAGACACAGGGAGTGCAGAAAGCTGCTGGTGCCGGTGCTGTGGCGAGGGCTGGGACCGGGGTTTGCCAGGAGGAAACGCAGCAGCTCCGCACTGGCACCGCCCGCGCGCAGCTGTGACCTTGGCATGACCTCCATCCGCGCTCCTGGCACGGCCACGGCGCCGGGCTGGCGTCGGGCTCCTTCCCAGCTTTGGGAGGAGCTGGAAAACCCCACTTTCTCCCGGCTGCCCTGCCCTCCCCAGGTGTGTGGTGACCGTGGGTGCTGTGGTGGCACTGCCTGTGCTGTGCTGGTTATTCCCCTGCTGTGCTGGTGCTGCCCGTGGCACCCCATGGGGATGGCAGGGGTCAGAGATGTTGGGAGATGGAGTGGGGGTGAGGTGTCATCCCTGGGTTTGGCTCCAGTGGGATGCTCAGGAGGGAATTCTGTTTTAGGGGCATTTTCCTCCACCTACCAATCAGTCCCATGTCACCTGGTGCTGGAAACAGCTCTGGCCTGGCTGAAGCTTTGTATTTTTGATCTGTAGAAAAATTCCCTGCAAAGAACAAAAATGCAAATTCTGCTGTATTCCAGTAGGTACTGAGAGCTGGTGTGGCTCCTCTGTCCCCACCCTATGGAACTGTCATGTCCATTGGTGGCCAGATGTCCCCAGCAGTGCTCAGCCACTGTCAGCTCCCACAGGGAGAGAAATTTGGGGGGTTCAGGCTGGATCCTGTTGCCTTCAGCTCTGTGAGCTGGAGATTACCTGTGACACACCCCAGGGTGTGTCATGCCTAGTTTGCATGCCAGGTGTCAGGACTGGGAATGCCACAGCGATGGCATGGTGGCAGCTCAGTTCTGGGGGCTTTGGGAGTGCAGCTTCATGGGGTGTCATGTCCCCAGGTGATTCTGGGAATTCTGAACCTGGTGCTGGGCTTTCCCCCATGTGCACAGGATCCTTTAGGGAGCAGTGGGGTGAAGTCTCCACGTGGGAGCTGATGCTGATGGGGTTGGAGGCTGAGCTGGGGCAACATCTTGAGCATGCTGAGCATCCTGAGCGCCCCAAGCCAGGCTGCGTTGGGGGTTCCCCAACCCCACAGCGCTGCTGGGGCACCTCTCCTGCCGAGAAGGAGCCCGTGGGTGCTGGGTGAACACATGGTGTGTTGAGTGTGCAGTTTTGGTTACTGAGAAATCCCTTTCCTCGAACGGGGCATCTTGTGGCGAGCGCGGCGGTTCGGGGAGCGCAGGTACCGTGCCTGTGGTTGGCACTTCTCCGAAGCCAGACTGGCTTTTCGGGCACCGTATCTCTCTGCTGCATCATTTCCTTCTCCCCTCACGCTCCCTGTCTGCGCTCCCCATGCCAAGAGACGCAGGGGGCTTCACAGAACTCCCTTTTCCTGGAATTTCACACTTTCCTAAGAAGCCGACCCCAACACCGTGGTTGGGATGGTGATAAAACCCGCTCGGGGACGTGCTGGACGTCACTACCCGTGTGCGGGAAAGCAGCCAGGATGGGCGATCCTTTCACTTTTCTCTGTGCAGGACTTTGCACGGGGCACGGTTGTGTTCCAAGGACGGCAGAAAAATCAAATTCCTTGGGAATAAAGCACCAGCGCCAGCGCAGCGGCTCACGGCACTTCTGGTCCCGCTGGTGACAGTGATTGCAGCACAGCACAGCACAGCACAGCACAGCTGCAATCACTGTCACCAGCGGGCCCGGAGGTGCCAGAGCCACCGTGGTGTCACCAGCCCTGTTGCAATGACGCCGTACACGGGCGACTTCTAAGAACTTTCTTTTCGGTGCAGCTCGGTGCTGATAAGGGCTGATCCCTCTCACGCTGCATTTCCGGCCCCAAAGTACACCAAGTCCTCAGGGGAGAGAGGGAGGGAGGAGGGGGGATGGAAGAAAAAAAAGCACAGCTAGATATGGTTTGGTTGGGTGACCATGGAGTGTGTCCAGTGGGGACATTCTTGGGGTCATACAGGTGATTTGGGGACATAGTGGGTGCGGGTTTGCCATGAGTATCACAAGACTGGAGCAGAATTTGGGCAGTTTGGTTGGCAAATGCTGTGGTGGGGTGAAGCACCACAGCCTGGCATCTGTGTGGGGACAGTGGCTGTGGATTCGAGAGGACCACTGGAGCCAGCAGCCCATGGGATGCTAAAGCCACTGCGTGAATCACAGCCAGCCAAAATTCTGTCGTGCAGCAAGCCTAGCACAGGAGGATGAGTGTGCCCGGCACATGGTGGCACTGCCTGGGCTTTGCTGGGATGCATGGAGTGGCTCTGGCCACAGGGATGAGCACCACGGGTTGGCTCTATTCTCCAGCACCAGTGCAAGGGTCCCCCAGCAGCTTTCCACCCCCCTGGCACTCCGAGTCAGCCCAGTCCTGGTGATGGGCTGGGTGCCACGTGCCGCAGCCTCCCGGTGGTCAGCGGCTCTCGCTCGCCGGCACACGGGGCGGCAGAGGAACCGAAAGCTGCCGGAGGGGTATTATTAACCTCTCTGGAAGTGTTTGCTCAGCATTCTGTCACGTGCCTGTGTCAGTGCCAAACCTGTCGGAGCGCTCTTGGCACGCCACTGCTGACCCTTGTACCCGTGAGCAGGGTGTTCCCTGCCTGCACCCCACGTTCCCCATCCTCCCTGGAATGCACTGCCGTGCTGGGAATCCACTTCTCCCTCCTTTCCTCCACCCATCCCTCTACTGCAGGGTCCCTGGGGCTGCTGAGATGGGTCTGGGTGTCACTTGGCCCCGCTGGCGTTCCCTGACAGCAGCCAGGCAGTGCCCTGCAGGGTATTTCCTTGCCCCATGGGGTATTTCCTCGCTCCACAGGGTATTTCCATGCTGATGTGGTATTTCCCTGGAGAGCTGGGTATTTCCTTGCTGGCTGCTGTGCCTCAGGTGGCTCCTGGTCCTGACAGAGCAGTGGGGTGGGGGGCAGTGTATTGTGATGCAGAGGGTGTTGGGGCTCAGCTCAGTCTCCATGTTCCCTCCACAGGGTTCCAAGCCAAAGCTCCATGTCGCCTGCTCCACCGTGCAGGAGGTGCGGAGGTGCACCCGCCTCGAGATGCCCGATAACCTCCACACCTTCGTCCTCAAGGTAGGACCTGCTGGAGGGGTCCACAGCCTCCCCTGAGGACTTTCCCACCCTCTGGGGCGCACGTGGCTCCCAAAAGCTCCCGTGCCAAATTTCAGTTCCTCTTCCCATCCCGGGAGGGGATGCACAGGGGGATGTGGTGTGCAGGGCGGGGGATGTCTGTCCCTGCCAGGGTCATGAGCATGGGTGGGTGGGTGGGAGGGGGGATGCACATCTGTCTCTCTCTGAAGCCCCCCGTCCCTCTCCAATGTCCCCCAGGTCACCAACGCCACCGACATCCTGTTTGAGGCCGGGGATGAGCAGCAGCTCAACTCCTGGACGGCCGAGATCCGGGAGTGTGTCCGCAGGGGGTAAGCGCCCGCTGGGTGTCCCTGAGCCTGGGGATGGGGACAATGGCTCCATGTCCTCCAACACAGGCTGGCCCCCACCACCAGCACTCAGCTTCTCCCATTTCCAGCAGGTCCGACGCGGGTGACCCCGAGCTCCTGGTGTGCCGGCACCCCGACCCCGCAGCCACCAGCCCCACCACCAGCACCGACCCCCTCGGCCAAGGTGAGCAACGGGGACACCCAGGGCACCCTGGGGACAGAATATCCCTTGCCAGGGGTCACCGTGTCCAGCCATGACTGGGCTGATTTAGCTTCCCCTTTGGCATGATAGGGGGGCAGAGCCAGAGGGCAGGGGGACGGGGGCTGTGGGCAGGGGTCCCCACTTCCCAGGGACACTCATCCCTGTGCCCCAGCAGTGGCGACGCCAGGGGGCCCGGGGGAGGCGGCAGGGCCGAAGATGGAGCAGTTCCTCTCCTCCTGCCCCTGGTTCCACGGGCCCATCTCCCGCGTGAAGGCGGCTCAGCTGGTGCAGCTGGGGGGGCTGGAGGGCCACGGTGTGTTCCTGGTGCGGCAGAGCGAGACACGCCGCGGCGAGTACGTGCTCACCTTCAACTTCCAGGGCAGAGCCAAGGTACGGGCGGGAGAGGGCTGGGATGGGGAGGGGAGTCTCGCAGGAGCCCCTCGGGCAGCCCCCCTGCTGCAGCACAGTCCCTGTCCCACCACATCCCACCCCAGGGAGGTGCTCTCCTGCTCCCTGTCTTGATGCTTGTAGTGGGTTGGTGGCCCCATCCCTGCTCCTGGGGGGCAAAAATCTCCAGGGGATTGCAGGCTGGGGATGCAGCACATCGTGCTACAGCCATTTGTGTCCCCCCACCCCAAATACCCCTATGTCCCCACTGTCGGCTCCAGGAGGGAGCGGGTGGGAGGGTAACAGGTCTGTCTCCTCCCCGCAGCACCTGCGGCTGGCACTGACGGAGCGAGGCCAGTGCCGGGTCCAGCACCTCCGCTTCTCCTCCATCGTGGAGATGCTGCACCACTTCCACCGCTACCCCATCCCGCTGGAGTGCGGCACGGCCTGCGACGTCCGGCTCTCCAGCTACGTCGTGGTCCTGCCCCACTCACAAGGTGTGCAGGGATGGGGAGGTTCCCTGGGGTGCAGGGATGGAGGGTGCCCAGAGCTGGGCTCTGGTGGGCTGCCCCGAGCTGGGCCCTTTGTTTGCACACAGAGGGGGGAAGTGGAAGCATCCGGGCAGTGGCACAAAAGGTGACTCCCGAGCTCCCAGCTTCCTCTTTTGAGAAAGGAGAAGCTGCTCCCCATGTCAGCGGGGGGGGGGTCATGGGATGCACCCTACAACCCCCACGACACAGCACCCTGACCACCCATCTCCTGCGTCCCCCAGCAGCTCCCAGCTCCAGCACCACGGTCCCTCTCCCGCTGCCTGTCTCCGGCTGGAGCCCCGAGTTCAGCCTCGCCCCTGCCGGCTCCTCCTGCCCCCACGGTGCCGACGAGGCACCCCCAGGCCCCCCTTCAGAGCAGATCTTCCACCTGGTGCCGCCGCCGGCCGAGCTGGCGCAGAGCCTGCGCCCCAGCAGGATCCCCCCAGCCCCCAGGCCCCGGCCCCGCGAGTCGGACTACGAGGTGGAGGCACCGGGCCGGGGCCACGTCCGTGCCATCGACAACCAGTACACGCCGCTCTGACTGGTGCCACGCCAGCACTGGGATGCACTTTCGGGTGGAGAAATCCTAGAGACCTTCTGGGGATCCATCGAGAGAAAGAATGTACCTGTTTCTTCCTTCTGGTTAGGGATGATTATTTTATTTTCGCAAGGAAGGGGGTAATTTTTCACTCCTGTACGGGTGTGCTCCCTCTCATTGGCCTGTTAAAGGGCCTTTTATTGTTATTTTTGTTGTTATTCTCAAAGCTTTCTCATTACTGTTTACACACCGCTCGTGCCTGTGCCCCCGTGTGCCGAGCGCCGCGACGCCAGGCTCGGCCTCCCACCTTCCTCCCAGCGAAGGAACCAGGGTCTGTGTTACACCCACAGAATTGGAGAAAGGTAAAAAAAACCCAGGAAACCAAGAAAAACAAGGATTATAAATTCATTGACAAGTTGCTGCTCTGGGCCCTGTCCTCCTGCCCCAACATGTGCTGCCGCTGCCAAACCCACCAGCAAAGTCCAACCTGAGCTGAGCTCCTGCGACGGGCGCGAGCGGGGTTTGGGCTTTATTTTTAGATAAGGCAAAAACTGGCTTTTCTTGCACTTCTTTTTTAACCCAGCACAGCCACAGTCACTCCCTGCACCAGCCAGGGGGATGCTCACCTCGCTTGCCCAGCTAATTGAGATGTGAACACTAATTGCTCCATCCTTAATCATGTCACCAGCTGAGAACTAACACAGAGACTGACAGCAAACCACTCCTGCTGGTGATGGAGGGGCTCTATCCTGGTGATGGAGACATTTTATCCCAGTCACTGAGACATTTTATCCCAGTGATGGGCACATTCTATCCCGATGGTGGAATAGTTTTATCTCGATGTTGGAACTGTTTTATCCTGGTGATGGAACCATTTTATCCCAGTGATGAAACTGTTCTACCCCGGTGATGGAACCGTTCTATCCCGGTGATTGGAAGCATTTTAGGCACAAATTTGAAGTCAGTTTTTCCCCCAGATGTTTTCTCACCTCACCAGCTCAGCACACCCTGCTGTCACTTGCCTTTTCCCGCCCAAAACACTGTGTCACCAAGAATTTGGTGGTATTTAAAGCTACACAGGCAAGGGGGGGTTCCTTGGACACCTCCTCACCTGGAGGAAAAACCTGTCCCAGCAAATCCCTGGGTGTCAAGATCCCCTGATCCCCAATCTCCGCTGCTGTTTCCAAGCCCTGGTGCTGCTTCACCTGCCGGGGCCTGGGGCAGCCGTAGGAGAGGAACCACTTCTTAGAAGCTGCCGTTATTTTAAGAATGAGGAAGGGCTGGAGCTGTTGCAACACCCGGGGGGAGGATGTTCACAGCATTCAACTTCCAGATTTCCCAGCGTAGCCCCCGGGATTTCGGCTGCAGAACTTGCCTTGAGATTGCCTTCCAGAAAGCTTTTGATTTCTATTTTTCCTTGAAATTGCAGTACAGGTGGGAGCCCTCAGGAGCATTAACATTTAGGAATTAATTTGAAAACAAGCAAACACAAAGCCTTGTTGGGCTGAGTTAGGGAATTTCACAAAAATCCAGCCTCTAGGCCGGGCTTTGCCGTGAAGCCAGTGCTTGGTGAGCCCAGTTGGTAGCCAAAGCCTGAGGAGCCAAGGTCAGGAGCTGAAGGGCAAATCCCGGTGCTGTGGGGCAAGGCCAAAATATCCAGGGCCAAAAACAGCTTAGGGAATGGCTGTGAGAGCAAATCTGGGTTTACAAGTCACAGTCAAAGGATGAGACTGGGAGAAACAGGAACCATCAACTCAAGAAACCATTTAGGATTTGCATTTTATGCCTCCCCATCACTTGCTCCAGCTTTCCCCTGGGTTTTGTGCATTTAGAGCAGGCAAAGGCTTTTTTTCCTCCTTTCTCTTGAAAACGGGTGCACAGGGAGGAATCCTACTTTTCCATGGGGATCAGCATTCCCAGCACTCAGCACATGCTGTCACACACTCACTCCTGAAACCAGAGCACTAAGAGCAAATTGCACTGGTCCAGCTCCTCCAGCACTGCCAGAGGCTGACGGGGAAACAAAGGCAGCCCTGTCCTCCTGGAGCTCCTCAGCTGTATCCGCATCCCATTTTCCTGCCTGGAGCAGCACAAAGGCTGCATCCAGTGGCAGGAGCACATCTCTGAGCTGGTTTGTGCCAGGCAAGTCAGCTCCCTCCATCACTAATAAATAACTCCCCGTGGTCTGCATTTGCAGGGATGGGGAAGGGAAGGGGAGGAAGCACACACAAGTTATCTCCTTTCCTTGTTAAGTGCCTGGTTCCCAAAGCCTTGGAAAACACATACACATGCTAAATCTTGCTAAGATTCCTGATTTTAGTCCCACTGAGCACCAGGGAGCTGCGTTCAAAGGGGTTTTTCCCCCAAAAAATGAGGTTGTCTCGCCTGAATCTCCCTACATCTGCAGAGAAAGGATGGGCTGGGAAAAGGGATCACTCTTCACAGCCGGTGCAGCCCTTGCCAGATGAATCCACATAAATCCCTGCCAGATCAATCAGATGCTGCTGGGGTGGGTTGTTTTGGCATTCCAGGGCTTATTGTTCCAGTGCCAGAACCGTAACATGCATGTGCATGTGGTGTTTTTAACCTGCAGCTTAATTGCAAGGGGTTTCTCTGCAGCTGAAGTGGAAATTGCTGTGCTTGATTACCAAAATATATGTTTGGTTCATTGTCACCCCAGCAGCTGCTTCCCCTGTGCAAACAAACTCCTGTTCTTCCCGCCCGTGAGCAGTGGGAAAGTCACTCTGATTATTTCATAGTTATATCCATCCCAAAACTCACCAACGAGGGAGCCAAGGGTTTTCCAGCCCTCCCAGCTCCGTCATCTCCCCATCTCAGACTCACTATGGTCCTGACCCAGCTGCACCAGGACCTGAAGCGATTTTTGGGTTATTTCCCAAGCTCCTGGGGACTGAGTTTGACATCCCGTTTCTCCTAGAAAGCATCTGGTTTGTGACACGGGTCAGAGCCCGACACGCAGTCCCACCTCTGCTCCTGCCAGCACGTTCCTCCAGCCCACAAGGCACCCAATCCTTGATTAGAGCAGGGGGCAAAGAGCATTAACCGTTCCATCCTATGGAATGTAAGCAACTTGCAGGAATCTTTATAATCTTGGGACTTGGGAGAAGATAAGGCTGAGCAGGTTTAGTTCCTCAGCCCATGTGGGCTTTTATTGGTGTTTATGAGGTCTCAGTGTTGAGTTTTGGGAGGAGGGGAAGCCAAAGGAAGAGCCTCCAGGTGGCTCCACACAGGTACAGCCACCTCTGAAATAGAAGTCAGGTGACCCCAGTTGTGCCTTGGCCCTGGAGATGGAACATGAGTTTGGATCCAACCTAACTAAGCCACAACCCACGGCAGCGGCTCTGGAGGCCCTTCCTGGTGGCCTCTCCCAGGAGAGGCTGTTTGGGGTGGGAACCCCATTTCATCCAGCTACTCAGGGCAGGTTTTGGCAATAAAGATGCAAACCAGGCAGTGCCTTCTCTCTGTGGGACAGCAGAGACCTGGCTTAGGGCATAACCCAAGCCTTGGGTCCAGCCACAACTCCTCCCCCTCATCTTCATCTTCATAAACCACTTGCTGTTTGCTGACAGAACCCCCTGCTCTGTGGCTTCTTCATGTCCTTGTGGGTGTCAGGTTCTGCAGAAGTCCATGATCTAAAGCATTATTTGATGTCTCCCTCCCTCCCACATCCCAGCACCAGCAGGTACCAAACACTGACACCTCCACTCCTCACCTCACTGAAACTATTTTGGGGCAAAGCTTATAGGAAGAGATCCGGGGATAAGCCAAAGCTTCTCCTTTCTAATTTGGACCACCAAACACTGGCATTACCAGTATTCCAAATTTTAATTTTAGCTTGTTTGATCCAAACAGCCCCAACCTTCACCAGCAACTCCCAGGGACGCAACTGTGTGTTCCCAAACTCAGCCTTCAGCAGGACGATTAAAGCCAACATTTTGTTGGGACTTAATTAATTTGAAAATTCTACTTTTCACTGGCACAGAAAAGTTCTTCTTGTATAGTAATTTTTTCTACATATTGTTTCTGTATGTACTGTACAAGTAACTTATTCTTGAATAATGCGATTTTACCGTAATATAAAAAAAAATCTGCTCTTAATAAACTGTTTTTAGAACTCGTTTCTCACTTTTAGTCTTTAGTCTGATTCTCTCCAGGTGCCTGGATGCTGTTTTAGTAGGTACTGGGTGCTAAAAGGCAGAAATGTTCCCCTAGACATGAAAAAGAAGCCAAGAGCCTGTGTCTACAGACTTATTGAAGGAGTCTCGTCCCAAATGACAGTGATGGTCCGTGGCTTTGATTCCCACCTGAACAGGAATTTGGTACATTTTTCTGCTGTGTTGACCTGGAAGGATTCAGAGAGGAGCTTGTACAGTTGATTTGCTCTGCCATGAAGTGCAGCTGTTCTACAGCCCAGTTAAACCAGCACCACTTTGGTTCGTCCCCACAGGACACCACACAGGGGTCAGGAGGGCACAGCACTTTGAGCAGGGATCAGTCTGTCTCCCATCTTTTTACCAGGCATTTTGCTAGGGAATTCTTACCCTGATTCCTTCCTTTCCTTCTCCAGCAGCACCACCGACATATGATTTTATCACCTTAAGTTGTGTAGTTTTTATCACCTCAAGGCCCAGCTGGGACATTTTTGGTGACACCACCCAGAGCTGAGGCACCAGGGAATCCACTTGAACACAAAACCTTGTTAAAAAACTTCTCTGAACTTGTGATTTTCAAACCTTTCACTTGTCTTTGCAATGCCCCACGAGGGGATCTGGATTCAGAACATGACAGACCCCGGGCAAAGCTCAGCTGGAGACCACAGTACAGCCAGAGACTGGTAAATCAAGACACAAACACCGAGGAGGGTCAGTTTTTAAAACTTTTTTTATTTTTTAATTTTTTTTTAAGTTTTTATTTTATATTATCTACAAAGTAAAAGTTTTCTTAACTTAAAAGTTACATCACTGTCTCACGATAGTGATTCTCTCATCAAACGTGATTTATAAATAATAACTCATCCGTTTGACGATTAGAATTTTTTTTTTCTTTTACTGAACCTGTTTCAAGTTTAGTTAGAAGTAAAAGGGATCTCCAAGTCTTGATTTTTAGTGATAATAGCAGCAAGAATCACTCTTGTTACTTCTTTTGCTAGCTGACGAGTTCATAACTTTGAAGGGTCATTAAAAAATAAATAACTTCCAGTTTTCAGCAAGCAGAGTTGGGGCACTTGCAGGACTCAGATACAGTGCATGGAATTATGGAATAGCCCACAAGTTCCTAAATGCCTCTACTCAGTCCGAATCTCTCCCACTGCAAGATGAACTGTTAGCATTCCTAGTGGATGTTACAAGAAATCAAATTTTTTTTTTTTTAAACAAAATAAAATGAAATTCTAGTTTTCTGTGCTTCCAGTTGGCAGAAGCAGTAGAAGGAGGGTATTTGGCCTACAAAAGGTATCCAGCCTTTCAGTTATTCCAGATGAGCCTTACAACTGCTGTTGGTGGTGGGCTTGTACTGTAAAAAAAAAGTTCAAATGTAAATAATAAATTGGCAAGCCACACAACAGTTTGCTAGTAAAGTGGTCACAGGACAACTACTGAGCTCAACTTTCTTTTATTTTTATTTTTTTCTCTTTTTTTGTCTTTTATTTTTTTAGAGAACAAACCAAAACCCTACACATCAAGATGTCCTTTGGATAGTTTTATTTTTCCCCTGCCTAAGCCCTCAGAAAGCATTTTTCTGCTCACACATTCCCCGAGAAACAACATCACTACAGGAATTTCGAGGCTGTTTGAACGCGAATAATCAAAGAAACCCAAGTCAGGTTAAATTTTAAGCAGAAAGAAGTCATACAGCACCTACTTTCCCCAAAAATAAAGCTGCAGAATGTTACTCTGTATTAAAGTTTTGCTTTCAGCTGTCACTGAAATTAGCAGTCACTTTATTAGCAGTCACTTTCTCAGCAGTCTAACAGCCCTAAACCAAAACCACTTTCGCTCCCGTCCTCGACACCGAGCGCTTTAAATTAATAAAACCTCTCATTGTTATAAACACACGGCAACACCACGGCAAACCCTGGCACAACTCAGTCCCACAGTGTCTCCCAGCTCCCCATTCCTCCACTCCAGCTGGAGGAAAACTCCCTAAACCAGGTAAAACCTATCTAGGCTGGCAACGGGCTGGCAAATACGAACCGCTCTACAAGGACATCTTAAGGTTGCTTTTTTTGCTTGGTTCTTTTGTCTTTTTTTTTTTTTCCCCAAATCTGGTCTGTCCCAGTCCTGATCCTCCGCCCTGGCTCAGTTTAGGGTGCAGGTGTCCCGGGCACACACTCCTCACCTGAAGGGTGCGTCATATAGGGGAAATGTGTTGTTGTCGAGACGGGAATGGGCTGTAGTGCACTTTGAGCGAGGGCGGCTTGGGGACCACCGGGAGGCTGTGTCGTCATTAGCATCATTGGAGCATGGGCAGTTGGGTGAGAAGGAACCATTCCTGACTGTACATGAGCCTGAAACAAAGAGCTCTTTAGTATCATGGTCACAAGGAGGCAGCAACTCCTGGCCACATGACTGGCGAAAAGTTTTCTCTCCGGCTGAGAAAATCCAGAGATTTATACTCCGTTAGGGATTAAGGCAGGTTTGAACATAAAAAAGGAATGACAACAAAAAGGAAAAAAAATTAATTAAAAAAGGGTTCGAATTTTTAGTGCTGGCTCGGAGTCACAGTCTCAGTTTTAGCCATTTTGCCAGTGTTTAACAGGGGAATATTAAAAATAAGAAAAACAAAACAATTCAGTAACAAATCTTCCAAACATTTCTGTTAGTCACCTACATCAAAGCACTTCCTAGAGGGTACAGACAGGAACTGCACAGGCACTGGGAGTCTGGCTGGTATCCCTTCCCCAGCTCTCCTTACACAACCCCACATTCCCTCCTGGCTCCCTGCCCTGGGCACCTCCCTCTCCTCTCCAGTGACCTGTGCTCACACATTGTTCAGTAAAGTCCTTCTGAGAAGAGTGATTTCATCCCTTTGTTCTGGTTCCAGTTCAGCTCATCACAGTTCTTGTGTGATCTGAGCAACCAGGGCTAAGTCTCAGCAGAAAAAGGAGATTAATTCTTCCAATGGCTGATCACCTCTGGCAAATAAGTTCAGGAACTTGGTGGGTTCTTTAGCTCAGAGCAGTTCATGACTCTAGAGGTCATTAATTTTTTGGGTTAAAAACCTAGTAAACACTAGTTTCTTAAAAGCACAAAATATTAAGGAACTCAGAGCTCTCAGTGGATCTCTCTCGGGGGAATAAAAAGCCCCAAAAAACACCATTTGTATTAAGGTTTGCTTTGTCCTTCTACCATATCCCAGAACTGCAGCCTCACAAGTCTCCCATGCCAGTAAAGACAGATAGCAGGTAGTGGCCAGAATTTTATTTCTTAAAGACAAAAGGGTTACTTGACTCATCACAGACATTCCCCAAACTCTTTTATCAGATTTGCACGTGTTAGTAGCACTCCAGGAGCCTTTAAAGGCAGGAACTGCAATTCAAATCTCACTTTTGCTCTAAAAAAAGGTTTAGAAGATCAGGCTGTGGAACAGAAATACCTCCCAGGAGTGGCTCCACGTTGACTTTGACAAACATGCTATTGGAGGAGCATCATTATAGAGGAGCTATTCATGGAGCAGCTGGAGTCAACACACAGTGGGTAAAATTTTTCTGCTGTGGCTCAAACACTTTGCAAACTGGCAGCTGACAGAACTCTGTAATGAATTTTAAAGTACTGGTTCTCAAGTGAGATATCTACCAGCTCAAGAGTCATCTGATAACCTACAGGGAAATTGGATTGATCCCCAGTGTTGGCCTGACTGGAATTCTTACCACGTGGTGTTTCAGGATGGTGTTTAGAAGCTGGAAATGAGGCTGATAAGAAACTGCACAATCCAGTGATTGGTTTCCCCACGATGGAATAATTACATGCATTTAAATTTCTGACTGAACTGTAGTTATTCCTTCATTAGAGATCTTTTGAGGGAACTACTTCATTGGGAAAGTCAATTAGTTTGGTGTAAATATCATAGATTATAGATTGTAGTTTTCATTCTAAAAAAAATCACAGAAGAGACTGCAGCAGTTAAAATCAAGGGCAAGGCAGGATTTGTCTGTGATTGCTAAAAATCCTGCCTGAGCAGGCAGTTCTGACTCAAAGTTGCATCTGATATGCTTAATTTGGTTTGGATAAGTGCTTGGCACACAGAAAGGAAGGCAATGGTCACATCCTGCATCCATGGGCCTGGCCATGGCGTGTACAGCACATTTCAGGTACAGGTTTACCTTGACGTGTCCTTGAACCAAACACGTTTCATGTTTCAAGGCAAGACACTGAACGTGTCCCTAAGCCAAGACCCTGCTGAGCAGCTCTACACACAACCCAGGCATTCACAGCAGTGCCATCACACCAGAGCAGAGCAGGAGTCTTGTTTCTGGCAGAAACCAGAGCCTGGGAGGACGTGGCAAGATTACCAAGTTTGGACATCCTCTCCTCATCCTCCCCCAAAAAAGCAGAGAAATTAAAAGCCTAAAAGAATCAAAAAGCTAAACACTCAACATCAGTAAAACAATTCCTAAATAACTATTAATTTATTGGCTTAACTGACTGTCCCAGGGACCAAAGCAAAGGTTTTATCAGAATTCCGCAAGGGACTGGACACCCATTGGACAAACCTCCCTAATCACAGTCAGCCAGCAGATCCCAAACTACTGATAACCTGCAGGAGAAGGCAGAAGCCAGACACCAAGTTCTTGGTATGAAGAAGAAATTCTGCAGGCAAATTACTGCTTTAACTGTCCATTCCTTGACAAAGGACACTAGATCCAGGAGATTTAGTGAACATCAGGAAATCTCTGTAACATTGCTTTACATGGAGCTCTTGATGAATCAATCATGTGCTTCCCCTCCCAAATCCTTTTTTTTTCTTAGTAAGCTGACCACAAAAGAGAGCAGTTAGAGAAGGGGATTTCTGATTCTGAATCAAGGACTGTCATTAAGTTGTTCAACAATCTTTGGGGATCTTCTGCATAAGCAGTTCATTTAGAACCACACACAGACACACACAGGGTTTTCTTTCTGCAAGGATTG